GGGCCGAACTTAGTAGTAGAACTGTACATAAGAACTTCTGTGTTCTTTATTAGCAAGCTGTGCTAATGACAGTGTCATTGGTCTGATCCCCAAGTAGCAAGCGTCTTGTTTCACGCCTGACCTGGATAAACTGAGTTATAGCATTGTGTTCCACTCAGTGTTATTGTTTCTTTTTTGGAGGCCAGGTAAAACTTGGATACTTATAAAAGATTCAAATAAGAAAGATACAGTAAAAATGTTTAAGTCCTCCTTAATTTTTCCCCGCCAGTACTTTCTGTCTCCTCCCCAGTGGTAATCATCATTAAATTTGGTATGTATTCAATGTGTGGTTGTGTATACATGCACGTGTATACATATATGTGGTTATATGAATGCACGTTTTCACTCAACAATATACCCTGAAGATCTTTATCTTTCCATGTCAGTAAATACCCAGTGATTTTCTAAAAATAGAAACCATAATCTCAGTTTCAGAGTTACAAGGAAACTAAAGATTTTCCTCTGTCCTTATCTGGTATATTTAATCTCTACAGCATTTCAGATGATTACATGTACAATCTCTGTTTCCACCAGAATTCACTGTCTCTTGAGGAAGCTCATCCATTTTGAGGCTATTGTGATTGCTCAGGTAATTCATACTATAGCATAATTTGGAGTAGTTGGGGTATATTTTACAGACACCAAAGGTGAAAAAGCATGGGAGCAGGTAGAGAGATCACTGATAGGTTTGGCATGTGTAAAGACAGAGAGGAGCAAAAGAATAAACATTGTCAGAGAACAGGGAGATGTCCTATAAAGAATTTTAGCTAAGGTAGTAATCAATTGGGTATTGAGGATTAAATAGGATTGGAGTATACAAAGTTGGAGAACAGAGGTGTTTGGAAGTATTTTCCAGGCAGAGGGGAAAAAATGAAGAAAGATGAAAATGCATGAAGCATTTTTGGAAAAAGTGAGTAGTTGTAGGGTCAATCAAGGTGAATAACGGGAAACAAGATTGGAAAGGTAGGATGGGGACTAGGTTTAAGAGGACTGCAAATTAGAACCTCTACTGCTTTTCGTATGTTAATTTTATATGCTGTAACTTTACTGAATTTGTTGATTAGATCTGTTTTGGTGGAGTCTTCAGGATTTCCCATATATAAAATCATGTCATCTGCAAATGGAGACTATATTACTTCTTCCTTTCCAATTCTGATGCATTTTCTTTCTTTTTCTTGCCCAACTGCTCTAGCTAGGCCTTCCAGTACTATGTTGAATAGGAGTGGTGAGAGTGGGCACCCTTGTCTTGTTCCTGATGTTAGAGGAAAAGCTTTTAACCTTTCACCATTGAGTATGATGTTAGCTGTGGGCTTGTTATATACCCCCGTCATTATGTTGAGGTATGTTCTTTCTATACCTAATTTGTTGAGAGTTTTTATCATGAATGGATGTTGAATTTTGTCAAATGCTTTGTGTCTATTGAGATGATCATACAATGTTTTTCTTTCATTTTATTAATGTCATGTATCACAGTGATTTGTGTATTTTGAACCATCCTCACATCCCAGGGATAAAATCTCAGTGGATCATGTTGAGTAATCATTTTTTGTGCTGAATTCGGTTTGCTAATATTCTATTGAGAATTTTTGCATCTGTATTCCTCAGGAACCTAGTTTTCTAGTAGTGTCCTTTTCTGGCTTTGGTGTGGGGATAATGCTGGCCTTGTAAAATGAGTTTGGGAGTGTTCCCTCATCTTTGATTTTTTTGGAAGAGTTTGAGAAGGATTGGTGTTAATTCTGTAAATGCTGGGTAAAATTTACCAGTGAAGCCATGTGGAAGATGAACATTTAGAGATTTTTGATTACTGGTTCAATCTCCTTACTAGTAATTGATCTGTCCCTATTTTCTGTTTTTTCTGGATTCAGTGTGGTAGGTTGTATGTTTCTGATAATTTTTCCATTTCTTTCTAGAGCTATACTCAGTAGTGGACCAGGCTATGACTCAGCTCCCCTGCCTGGGCAGGGTTTGACCAGGCTCTAGGGCTGCTAAGGTTCTTTTTTTGCAGTCCCAAGTCAGGCAGTCCTGCACCCCACCAAGTTCCCTGGTCAGACTGCATGACCAAATTGATGCTGCAGATGAGTAAAGCTGCTGGTTGGGACTACTACACTTGGGCGCTGCAGGTAGGAACTCGGTCTGCCAAGTTCTGAGTGCTGGTTATTGCAAGCTCCTTCTCTGTCACAATCAGATTCCCAGTGGTCAAGCTCTGCAGATATCCCCACAATCCCCATGGGGTGAGACTGGAGTGGGGGCTCCCAAGAAGCAACCCACAATGCTGGGGGAGCTGGATGTTCACCCTGGGTTCTCTTTTCCCAGTGGGGGGAACTGTAGGCTCTGGAGAGATCCCTTAATGTGGTGCTGCACTGGCCTGGGGGAGGGGCAGTGTGGTCAGCTTGTACCCACTCCTCTTACTCTTTTGATGCTGTCTGTCCTGGTCTCTGAGGGGCAGGGGGTGCTTCAGCCTCACCCCCATGTCCTAGGATTCTCTCAGTGGTGTCCTGTCCATGAATAGTTGTTGTTCTTGTGGGGGGAGCAAAGTCAGGAATGATCTTTGTTGCCATCTAGGTGATGTCACTCTCTGCATTTTTTTTTGTACGCATAACATACTTTAATTTTTAAAAATTAGCTGAAACTTCAAAGGGTATATATATTTTTTTCTGGACAGATGCAATGTTTATTCTATCTACTCCCATACCACTGGGCCAAGAACAAGACACACACCCAAGCCTGAAGTTGGTGGGGGAGTACACTCTGCCCAGAGTGAAGCCAAAGCAAGGGTGGGGAGGGAGGAAGAATTGTGTGCAAATAATACTAGGAGAAGGTACTTTTTATTATGTAAAGGATTTCCTGTAGACTGCACCCTTTCCCTTTGGTTGCCTTATAATAACAAATATTTCAGTCATTCGCAGATAAATTATATCTAGTTGTCAAGAAAAAAAGACTGCTGAAAATACCATACATTAAGGCGTTTGTAGCTGATTTATATAGGGAATGGTAGTTTTTTATTTCTACCACAAATATAACTCTTTTTAAAGTTCCATGGCAGAATAAAGAAGTAGCTGCAAATGAAAATCCTTTGAGCAGTGCTTCTCAAACTTTGGTGTTCATCAGAATCACCTGATAGGACTGTTAAAATGTTGATTTTCGGGCTCCACCCGAGTTTCTGATTCAGTAGGTGTGGGGTGGGGCTCAAGAATTTGCACGTCTAACAAGTTTCCAGGTGATGCTGCTGCTGCTGGTCCAGGCAGCCACATTTACAGTGTCAGTTTAGCCCTAATAATCTGCCTGTTGTTTTGGGCATTTTCTGTTACTTTCTCTTGAGTTTGATGAAATGAAGTAAAACCACACACATAAAACCCTTAGGTGGAAAACAAAATTTTATTCTAAAAATAGATCTCAGTAACAATGAAATACCAAAAGCTGGTCATTATAATAAAAAGAAAAAAAAAAGGTATCAGGAATTTGCTTTACATGTTTTTTCTGAAAAATACAAAATTATCAGTGTAATATACTACCACTCTCATTTATCTGTATTTAAATTATTCATTTACGGATTATCCAAGGAAATTTTAAAATCATAGATTGGATTCTGCCTAATATTTAGACATACATCTGGATTGCTTTTATCTTCAAGTAAATACATTCTGAAGGAATGCAAACAAAATTGAACATTTGCTTAAGTAAACAATCAGGAAGATACATTTATGCTTAGGAAATGTGCTCCAAAGCAGAATATTGGTTTGCATCACTGTTTCCCTCAATTTTTGCAGATAACCAAAAAAACTGACTGCATTGAAGTACTGGTATTTGAAAAAAATTCTACAACTTACACATACAGAAAAGACGATTACTTCAAACCCAAAGCACAGGAAACTTGAAAGGCAAATGATGACATTTAGTACTTTAAAAGTGGTTTTAGATCTTCAAAGTGCTAAAGAAACAAGCATTCAAGAAAATTTCAGGCTTGTCTACACAGTTCTGACTGACTTGAAGTACTGAAATATAAAGAATGCAGGAGACAAAACAAATTAAATTTAAAAGGCCCCCATTACTATAAAATATATCTTACTATGTTTTGCAAAAAAATGAAAGCAGTGGTTGAAAGACCAGTTAGGGCTAAGTTAGAAACACACAACTTACCTATCAGCCCACGGCTCTTTTTCAAACTACTGTAAACACATGTTTCATAATATTTCCTCCATACTGCATGTGTCACATACATCCTATCATATCCATATTTTGGATTTTTATCATCCATATTCATCACATCAATTGGGCATAATGCACAGTGAGTAAATGATCCTTTTATATCAAAATTCTTGACATGGCATTCTCTGCAAACCAAAAGCTGATCACAAAGTTAAATTCCTATTAAATTTAATTCCTGTTAAATGTAGGTACATGTTCATTAGGACTTCTTAGCTCATTTTTGGACTATCAGAAATTGGTGTGATTTACTTTGACCATCTAAGAAATACTCTCTTAGTATTTAGTATAGACTAAATACCTCTTTTGTCAAAACTTGACCCTGAGTTTTGAGTGTTGGAATATAAACTAAAACTGAAAACACTCCAAAATACCTTGGCTAATACTGGTGTCCCTACAATACTGTGCTTTTTCTCTCCATTAACATAATACATACGAAAGCGCCTCCTCTTCAGCAAGGGAGGAAGAGGAGTGGTCTGAAAAATATCCAAAGAAGAAGAAGTTAAAAATTCTTAAAAATTCCTGTTTTAAAACTTCATAGGAATCTTCCAAAATGCATTGGTGTTTTAGTATAAAAATGCTATTTCCCCAGATCTTTGAGTAAAATCAATGGTGCATGAAATTTTTCCATGCTGTAGGTTTAGTAGCCTGAGAGGAGCCCCACAGTCCCTGGCTTGATAAAGACAGCATTAATCTACAGTCCTGTATATAGAGTTCTAAATGTTGTTTTAGAACTCATATAAGGGGCTTTTTTAAAAAAAGTTAGGTGTGTTTACACTAAACATTTCTAGATACTGAAAGCAGCTCTACATCTCTTAAAAATATTCACTAAATATAAAATTAACAGCTGAATATGAAATAATTTCCAGTGGTGACAATATTCTCACAGTAGCAAATATTCTAACTTCTTATTTAATACTAACAACTAAGTCTTTAAAACATTGTATCATGTTAAACATTGCAATTACTTGAAATTACACAGTGAAAAAAAGATAATTATATCAACTGCCACTGAAAGCTCAAAAGAAGTTATTAATAAAAATACAGGCTCTCTAATGGCTCTAACAGAGCTAAGTCCAGGTATTGTTTCTGGTTTTATTTGATTTTTTGGTGGTGGTGGGGGGGGCGTGCATTTTGTTTTTAAACCAAGTACTAAGTTTTAAAACGTATAAATTATTGATGATTTCTGAAGAGACACAAACTAAAATTATGCTGAAAACCTGGTTTACTTGTATAATTTCTGCTGTGTGGCATTAGTAATTAGGATATATCCAGCTCTGAATAGCACTGAAGTTCTTTGTGTGAGCAAAAAGACAGTCAAAATCCTAAGTGTGTGACAAGCTCCTTATTTGTATGCCCAGATGGCATCGTGCCCTTCAGTGATGATGTCTTCCAATTACTGGCCCCATGTGACCAATGCCACAAAAAAAATGGGACAGGACTTGTTTGTCTTACTATGTATTTTTGAAAATTGAATTTAACCATTGCACTAACTGTATGCTTTAAGTGTTCATCAAAAAACCCAAACCAAACCCTTTTACCTTTAGTGATCAACGAGGAATCTTTACATATTTATATAATACATTGTAAATTATATGCATAGCCTCTTTATTTTCAAGAAGAGAATATTGTTTTAACTAATAATAAACCAAAATTAATTGATAGGGCTGCATCAATCTTTCTTCTTTCCATTGGTCCTGGGATTTCCTTAAATGATGGCATCATGTTCATCACTGTAATATATCAAAAGTTAAAATTACTTGGTGTTTTGTATTTGTATCAAAACTACTTAGATATTCATATTTTTAAGTAAAGTAAGTAATAATTTCAAGCTTCAGAATCAAAATTAATTGTCATTGCTTTGTGTACATTTCTTAAGTAAAAGCACCCAGGAACTGTAGTGGTTAAGGATTCAAAAGGTGATTGAGGTTGTCCAACAGACCTGCACTCACATCTCTGCTCTACCTCTCAGTGTCTGTGTGACTTTTCACCAGTTAGCTGTTACAAGCTTCTTTAAAGAAGAAAACAACCAAAATGACCATCATTTCTTGAGCATTTACTATGTGCCAGGTGTTATGCTACAGACTTTACATCCATATCTTATTTAAATCATCACAGTAACCCTACGCAGAGGGCATTTTTATTTACTTATTTATTCATTATCCTGTTTACAGAGGATCAGAAGCTAAGCAAGCATGTGAACTCCCATCTTGACCATCATACACTATGCTACATCGTTTATATAAGCATGGGAAGGCACCTTGCTGGTCAGCAGTAGAACCCAGACTCAAAACTAAGTCTGTCTGCCCCAAACCCCATCTCTTAACTATTTCACTCCAGTCTCTCCATGCAACTTTAAGAAACACAGGAGCTAACATTTTAATCAGTGTTATTATCCAATAAATGAAAACTAGCAATGCTCATTATTACTAGATAATAGAAGGTCTCAGTTTCCTTAAGAAGACAAACATTAAGTCCTTATTTATGGAATGCCATTTTTTTATAACTTCAAAGGAACCACTACTTTTTTTTATGTAGCTCTAAGAAAAACACAACCAATTAAATTACAACACAATGCTTATCCCATAGACTGTAAGGTACATCTCAATTTCAGAGGTGTTAAAATGTGGAAAAAAACAAAACCAAAAATGTGTACTTAGACTCAACTAAATATGGTATTTTCACCATCTACTGGTTCCTGTATCAATAAGCCTCCTATTACAGTCAAACTCTGCCTCTGCCAGCATAATTCCCTTACAGTAGTGAGGATTCTGGACTCGGACTTCCTCCATAGGGCATGCGTGCAACCTTATGTGGTCATGTATATGTGAGAAAAAAATTAGCCCATAAAGCTAAAATTACATACTTTGTAGTTAAGGCAGTTTACAATGAAAACAGCACATTTTAATTTAATTCCTTTACTACTTTATAACTTCAACTATATCAATAAATATTATAAAAAATGAGTGGCATTTAATTTCCTATAATCAAAATGTGCCTTCTGTTTAACTGGTGAAATTTACCAAGGAAACAGATGATAAATATTTCTAGAAACACATAGTGGTTTTAAAACTTTAATGTACTTTTAAAGTTAACTCTGTTTAGTCAGAGTTTCCTTCATGTATTTTTTTCTTTTATAGGTTAACCTAAAAGAGAAAAGAATGAATGTTTCTGAATATGCTTTTAATCTGGCAAAACACCACCTTGATATTCTTTTAAAGTGAATTTGATATGATGAATATATAGACGGTAACTTGCAATTTAAATATAATGTTTTAAAGTCTGGTTTTTTAGTTCGATGAAAAATTTGAGAAGTATTTTCATACTATATTATCCTCCTGGAAATTCATAATGCACATCAAGATATCAAAGGCTTAGAGAATTCTTGTAGTAAAGTAACCTGTTCTATTTTGCTTTGCTCAATCAGCATTTCCTAAATGTTTCTGACGTGGAAACTCTGTGTGGGATGCATGTGTGTGTGACAACTTAAACAGAACAAATTTTCAAAAATGGTTATCTATTCTATGGTATTGATATACATTAACAATCAAAAGAATGAACTGGCTCTTGTACATATAAGACTCAAAAGAAAAATCCAAAAGACTTTGTTGGAGTAACAAACGCTGGGAGATGATACCTCCAAAAACCACAAGACCTACAGAATTACATGAAAGGTGAACATGGTTTGTTGATCGGGACTTGTTGATAAAGCTCACCTAAAAAAGATAATTTTACTACAGATAAAATGATAACGTATATTACTTATAACAACTCATTTGATATAGTAAATTATCAGGAAAATGAGGCTGTCAGAAGAATTTCCTTAGTTTGTCTATGTCATAGAAAGCAAAAATCATGTTTTTACCAAGGATGCTATGTTCGTATGTGTTGTGTTTGTGGGTAGCACTAAGTCAACAGCCTCATGAGACCTGATATGGTATTTCTTACAATGAGGGGTATAAGTAAGTGAAAAGGATTGGCTAAACTTGGGTCTCTGGTAAAAAATGACACTAATAAAACACAAACATTTTTATAGGTATATACATCTATTTTCGTTTGCAAATAATTATAACCACAAGCTTGTACATAAACAATTTACTTTGGACACAGAAGATTAATAGGAACATGACTCATAAATCTATGAGTTATTCATCCCTGACATGAACACTGGCCCTACTGTGTGTGTGATAGTTTGTCATGATATTTAAATAAATACAGAAATAGTAATAATAAAAAAGTCCTGGCCAATCAAAACTCACATGGTTGTATACCGAATGCCTCTTCTTGAATAATATATTTTGCCTCCAATGTAAAGAATAGATAAAAGTCCCAGTGTTAATACAATACCACCAACAAAGCTGCCAGTATCAAATTTTGATCCTTTATTTTCTTTAGAATTAATAGTGGCTGTGACTAGAAGAAAAAACAAAATAGGCGTTAGCACTTGTTAAAACCATTATAATAAGCTAAAACTTTCTGAATTTCTATATAACAATGCTGAATTGGGGATTGGGAGAATCTAAGCATAGAAAGTTGCTCTCCAGCCTCCTTTGTGTCTAGCGACTGCCTGGGTCTAGTTTCTTCACTTTATCCAACACGTCCCTCAATGAAACCCCCAGGGACTGCAACCCGAAGATTTGAAGGTGTTTGGTGGTGCTGGACTTGGATAGCCTACCAAAACCTCAAAGGCAGGAAGATTTGGAAATATTTTTCCTTATAAATCCTCTTAAGAGTTCATGCCTTAAAATAGGTCTGGGTAACAAAGCTGTAATCTTTAAACTGGATCCAATTTGAGTAACTGTTTCTAACTGAAATTTCTCCTTTTGATTAAATTGGCAATTTTAACTATTTTATAAAGTCAAGAGCCCCTGAGACATTAAAGTTGATTTTAATACATAAATTGTTTTAATGAATAAAATAAACTATATGGAGTAGAAATATATAAAAACATAGAAGAAACCATAAAGTCTGCTATTTGTTCTGATATATGTAATCATTAGTTTTTAAACAGAACTTCAACTTTGGATAACTGAAAAGAGAATCGTCTTAAGATTTCTAAATTCATGGTTTCACAGGCATTCTATTTTAAACAAATGCAAAAGGTAAGGAGTGCTGAGACTCTAATACTACATATGTGATTATATCTAATACCATTTAAAAATATCTTAAGGGCACAAATGAATTAAAACCAAAGTTCACCATGATTTTGGTTTAGAAGTCATGTAGATTGAACCTGCCTAACTCCTTTCTAGAATAAGATACAAAGAGTTAAAGGTACAACAAATTTTCAAACCATGTAAAATAAAATTCCCTATTAGGATAAATAACTTATTCACAGATGGTTCTTATTTGGCATGACTAACTTGGAAACTCATTTTTTTAAAGGGACAAGAACACTAGGTCAATTGACTCTTTTCCTAATCTCTACAGCTAATTTACTTAATAGGAAATCATTGTCTAAATTTCTGTATTTATTTTTGCAGAATGGAATGATGATCTAAATGTGGCATTTAACAGCTCTTCTCAGCATAGAAAAAATAGGTCACTTTTAACACATACCTGTTACTGATGAAGAAACAGATGTCACTGAACTATTATTGTAGGTTGTAGTCACGGTGGAACTATTGTGGGTTGTGGTCATCGTGGATGTTGACATCCGGGATGTGCTTTGTGAAACACTTGTTATTTTGGGTGTAGACTTTAAGGTGGTGGAAGTCATTTTTGTTGAGACCCCTGGTGTTGTCATTTTAGATGTTGCTATGGGTTTCAAGGTGGTGTTTGTCACGTTCTTTGAGACTGAAGAAAATGGAGTTGTTGATGGTTTCATAGTGCTGCTGGAAGATTCATTTATAGGGCTGACAGACACATGTTGGGGATCCCCTGCAAGAATATCAAGAAAGATTAAAACTGGAGCTCTGATTTAGGAAATTAAGATCTCACTTCACTGCGACTTTCATGGTCACACATAAATAGGTGTAACAAATACAGCAGCACGAAAGATACTTATTAGTCCATTAATACTTTGCACTATATGGCAATAAAGTATCTCAAACTAGTAAAATTCAGGGACCAAGCCTAGATATACATAAAGTTAGGAAGTTTTGTGAAGATATGAAAAAAATAAAACCGAGAAGACTGAGTTCCTTTAATCCAAGGACAATGTCTTAATCATCTCTGTGTCTGAACACTTTACCATATTTCGTGTCACAAATGTTACCTGAATGGGGGGTTTTTAAAGTTAAAAGTTTCAAGTTTCTCTGCCACATTCTTTTAAGGAGCTTCGAGGACAAACAGTAGCTGCATGTTTCTAAGCCCCCAGTGAATGTTTCCTTAAAACAAACTCCTAAAAATAAAAATAACTTTCTTTTGATTCACATTTAGAAAAAGGTTTCTTAAAAAAAAAAAGAAAAAAAAAATATAAAATATGCCCTATGACCAAAAGCAAACCTGTCTTCATAATATTATTTCATAGTCTGTCTTCATTGTAACTCCACAACTTAAGTAACATTTACAACTAAAGGTACTTTAGTTATTATAATTCACTGTACACTAATTTATTATAATATAGTATAACTGTCTAGGGAATGAAAAACTTTATATCTCTTTGCCCTTTTAATATGATGTAATTTACTTCTGTATTTGTTTCCTGTTCTCAAAGTTTATTTTCAGGTTTACTAGTTTGCTATGTTGCCTGTATTCTCACATTTTATTCTTTATGTCCAAGTACTCAAGTGGAAAGAATTAACCACCAGGCTTGCCTTCTCCTTTCCCCAGGGAGAGTAGCATGATGCCATCAGGGTCCCTGTCCCACCGCTGCTGTCAAATGCCAAAAGGGATTACTTCATATATTATCATCCTATCTTCTGCAATTATTTTGGACTTTTTCTTGAAAGATTTCCATTACTTATTTTCAATTTAACTGGACAGGCTGGTTTTCATAGTGCTGCTTATCTGCATATCAGCTTTTACTATTCAAATTCCTATCACATTTTCTCAACTTGGAGTCTCTATTGTGTTGTCTCTTCCACTGAATATTATCTAATTAAAAAAAAAGGCCAAAGGAATTAATACTTTTGTACTATATAGACAAATTATAATTATTCAAGTAGATGATACAAATGCCATGAACTTCAACTAATCTTTTATTACTAATTCTGAATGCTCTATACAGAGATATAAGTAACATACTTTAGCACTGGAATAATCACCTTTCATTTTAAACTAGTGAATGAATTCTATTGTAATGAAATTAAATATAGCAAAGAACCATCATTTATATCATATCTTTAGAACAGAATGATCTTTGCAGAGTAAAACAATGAACACAATGCTGCTTTTGGATTCAACACACACAGCCTACTCCCCTCTCCCTGCCATAATAAGAAATTCTTCAGAGATACTGTACAAAGTCACATGGGCAAAAACAGGGAGCTGTAATAGGTTAATTCTCCACTAAGAAAATCCAAATGTGTTAAAGAAACCACTAAGCAGCTAAAAATTTCTACAAATTGACAAAACAGGCAAATAAGTTTTATATTAAACTGTGTTTTGTGATGTTTAAGTGTGTAAACTGCAATGCAAGGATGCTGTCTTCAAGGTCAGACCTCACATCTGGTGATCCAACCCCTCTGTCTATAATATAAACAAGTGGTCATTTGTGCTCCTCTGCAAATGATACCATCCCACCATGGAAGTCTGGATGTCTTCCCTCTCCCTTAACTGTTCAGATACTGACTGGCACCTCCAGCGGGTGGCACAGTAAGCCCCTGCAGAGACGTCAGAACAGACCATCCAGGAAGGACTTGTAAAGGGTTAAGCCCTATCTGACTTTGCCCGTCTTAGCTATTCAGTCTCCCACCTCTAAGAAGCAGAAGTTGTAAAGGTGTGGGACGTGGGCAAGATTTGTGAAGGGGGTCAGAAGGTACAAACTTCCAGTTATAAAATGAATAAGTCATGAGGATGTAATGTACAGCATGGTGACTACAGTTAAGAACACTGTGGGGTATATATGAAAGTTGCTAAGAGAGTAGATCTTAAAAGTCCTCATCATAAGAAAAAAAAATTTGTAACTATGTGTGGTGCAGGATGTTAACTAGACTTATGATCATTTCACAATATATACAAATATTGAATCATTGTATTGTACATCTGAAACTAATGTTATATGTCAATTATATCTCAATTAAAAAAAAGTACTCAAAAAACCCAAAACAAAAGAAAGAAGTTGTAAAGGCCGGAAGAGGGTATGTTACTGGAGAGAGGCAGTGTGCTATGTGTCCACTCCCACCAATGCCCGTGGAGGAAAAGAGGAGAACGCTCCTCCTCACCTCAAACCAAGCTGGAAAGGCTTCAAGGGAACCACCTGAAGAGCAGAACCAGTATCTCCCGGACTTGAAGAAACACAGAGACTAGGGTTTGACTCAAGCTGAAAAGGAAGCCTAAAGGTGAGATGCTGTGACTGAGCTGTCTTCACCTGTCAGCAGAATTTAAAGGCTGCACTGGGAGTAGACTCTGTTTCCAATGACAGCAAAGGTGCTTGTTTTCCATAAACCAAATCAGGCCCCGTGGAAGATAGCCAGCATGGGGTTGCCTTAAAAGACAGCCTCCCAAGAGAGTTCTGCATAGAAGGATGAAGATAACTAGCAGAGAGGTAGAACACCAAAAGCTAGGGGCCAAAGGTGTGCAGTGAGAGGGTCAGCTGGAGGAGAGGCCCCACCACGTCAAGAGAGCCAAAAGGGGAGTCCCAACTGGAGGATCTCCCAGCAGTCTACCAAGGAGAACCACATCTGCCATCCAGAGGGCACCCATGCCAGATGAAAACATCCCAGCTTTCACCCCACTGGCTTCTTCCCTTAAACCCCTTTAGGCCTGCTCCTGTAAGGGTCCAAACTAGAAGAAGGGAGGGACAGAAAGGCAGAGCAAGGAAGGAAGCCAACAGTGTCAAATTTCCCACTGCAGGCTTTCAAGCCTGAAGCAGGCCCAGGCTGGCCGAAGGGAGAAATTCCAACTTTGTATCACTGCTGAGTTTTATTATTTTGTTGTTATTCTGGAAGGGAGAGGTACCCTATTACATACAATTCACTCAATAAACTGGACATACTATCGATAACACCTCAGCTAGTGTAGGTGGGGGAGTAGAGCTGCCAGAGAAGGGGTATATGTGACATACAAGATAAACAATGTACATACGAATATGAGTGATGTTTTGTCATTGCTGTAAATCTACTCGACAGTCCAATCTGTTCTCCATTCCTGTTTTGTGATAAGAGAACTATTCTTCGAGCACAATTTTTCTATGATAGAGTAAGAGCTTCCATTTATCGAGCTCTTCTCTTTACCAAGTGCTGGTGATGTTTTCCAGGCACAGTGGGTATGAGCTCAAGCTCTAGATCAGCTCAGCCATTTAACTTGCTGGGTTACCTTAGACAAGTTACTTAACCTCTCTGAGATTCATTCTTCTTCCTTATCTATAAAAAGGGATATCACAAGGGTTTGGGAGAATTAATTGAGATAATTTGTGCTGAGCACTTAGCACAGTGCCTGCTACGGAATGTTTACTCTGTTTTAGCATTAGTTTTATTATATGTATCTCCCCTACAGAGCTGCACTGTAAAGCTCCCCAGAGGAGGGTGAGGAGCAGGCACTGTCAGAGCTCCTATTCTCATGATTATCATCACTGCCATCTGAATAACATCATATTGAAGAGGATGCTATTGGGGGTATTTTCAGTTCATTGATGCAATTATCCAAAAAGAAAAAAAGTGATGCCCCAGGCCTTTTTCTGTTAACCTCAGCGGGCCACCTTCCTATTACAGCAAGACATTACTAAGCAGCCTATTTTTTCTAATCAAGTTAAAAAGTACTCAAGGCCAGCCCGGTGGCATAGTGGTTAAGTTCACCTGCTCTGCTTCGGCGGCCTGGGGTTCACTGGTTCGGATCCTGGCCACAGACCTACTCACTGCTCATCAAGCCATGCTGAGGTGGCGTCCCACACAGAAGAGCTACAGCTCTACTACTATGATACACAACTATGTACTGGGGCTTTGGGGAGAAAAAAGAGGAAGACTGGCAATAGAGGTTAGCACAGGGCCAATCCTCCTCCTCAAAAAAAAAAGAAGTTCTCATCCTCTTCAAAGTCTAGGTTTGTTCCAACTATCTTTGTATAACTCTGCTGTGTTGAAATAACTTTTCTTACTCCTATAACTTTGAGTCCAAATATATCTAAGTGCCATTTTTTTTCCTTTAACCTAAATATTTCAAAGTTGAGAGTGACAATTTATTTTCATGAGGGCAAATACACACTTAAACCACAGTTGAAAATACACATCAATTTTTTAAAATCTCAGTTATTTTTAAATGGGATACTATAGCTTTCCATTTCCTATTACAGTTGTCAAAAATACAGAGCTATTTAAGGCATGGACCATATATTTCTGGTGCCACAGAGTTATTTGGAGGGGTCTGTGATTCTAAGAACAGTCTGCAGCTTGAGCAAATTAAAGAATAACTAGTCTTGTATTTAACTCTGGGAATATTTTTAAACCTTGAGAACCTGAGAACCTCTTGCCTATAAAGAAACTAAATATCAGTATAATCCCAGAAATATTCATTATTTAGAAAACAAAGAGGCCTTGCCTCATTGCACAAAGTCAACAGGCTCCTTCCAAAATTTCTTCTGAATTCAAATTACCTGAGGACCAAAAATCCATAGAATTGAAAAATCTAGGGGCCAGCCTGGTGGTGCAAGCGGTTAAGTGTGTGCGCTCCACTGCAGCGGCCCGGGGTTCGCCGGTTCGGATCCCAGGCGTGCACTGACGCACCGCTTGGCAAGCCATGCTGTGGCGGCGTCCCATATAAAGTAGAGGAAGATGGGCATGGATGTTAGCTCAGGGCCGGTCTTCCTCAGCAAAAAGAGGAGGA